TACCACCAGATCTATTCCAGGAACCTCGGCCACTAGCAGGAGTTCCTTGGTGCCCAGAGAAAGGAGTTAGCAACCGTACAGGGCTTCTCCACGGACTGCTATGAAGACCACATGATGGCATTTTATAAGAAATACAATCTGGAGGCTGGGACATATGAAACTGATTGTTCCCTCTTCCTGCTATAACTAGCAAACACAGAAGATAAGCAATTCCAACTTCTTTGTTTCATAAAAACAGTAACTATGTGTATATAAAAATAAAAACAATAATCATATTACCGAATTATACTATTATAGTAACTATTACAAAAATCATATAGAAGATCCAAAACTTATCATCATGTAGCTTTAAAGTCAACCATAAGCCTCTTTTGTGGTCCCAATGCATCTCTAACCACCAGGCAGGTGATGTACAGGATAATGCAACAACAAAAAAAACATATTAGACAAATTCCAAATCCTATGACATCTCCATTTCCTAAAAATAATAGTATAGCTTCTCCTTTGTTTCATTTTCATACTCAAATTTTCAAATACCGGTCGATCCAACCAAGGACTAGTACGGGACCATAATACCATGCGGTTCAATACCGATCAGACAATTTGAGTATCAGACAATTTGAGTATCAGACAATTTGAGTCATTATATCACCTGTAATACCATACCAGACCAACAAGGCATCAAAATCAATGTCAGGCCGAGACTCCTTGGTCATGGATGTTTTCTAGACCAAGCAGCATCAGAAAAACTGAAAGATAACTAGGTCACAACTAAATACTGCTCCAGTTCTAAACTAAACGAGGAAAATAAAAGAATAATAATGAAATCAATAGGAAGGTAAAGTAAGAAATATGAGGAATTGCTTACCAGTAGGAAAAGATGATGGTGCTGGATGATAGGGGGTTGAGGGAGTAAATCCGATGGTACCAACACCATGGCTGGAAGAGTTAAATCCGATGGCACCAACACCTCGCATCCTCTTGCTGGACGTGAAGGCTGACAGGGGATCGGTGATAAAGAAATCACTATTAGAGATGGATGGCTGGCACTCAAGGGCCGGTGGTGGCTGGATTGGAGAGTTAGAGATTTGAGGTAGCAAAAGGAGTGGTGGGGGAACAGTCAAGAGTGAGTAGGAGGGTTCCAAGGTGGTGACCATGGCCCGAGAAGCCTGCAAGCTCATGGCCCGAAGCCTCTCCCTCCTCTTTGTGGACTCCTCCATGGAAGTGAAGACAATGATCCAAAAGGTGAAACCCTAAAAGACCACAATAAAGATACAAAATATTATATCATGTCAACATATCAGAAACAAAGCATCTGGCAGCAGAATACAAGTAATCATGTCCATAAGAATTGTCAACAATTCTGATAGGTGATTAATGGATAAATTGAAAGTGAAAACCCAAACATTCCCTATTAAGATCCACATAATCAATTATGCCAAATTAAAATTAACAGCCTCACTGTTCAGATTCACATAATATTTAACTTTAAATATTAAAGTTACAATTAAGAATAGAATGACCAAAGAAAACAAAATTTATAGGCTTAGTTTGAATTAAATTATATAAAAGATAGCTATTTCTCAAGAAGAAATAAACTAAAGTTATTCACATTTTGCACACTCCAAAGTATCATGTTACCTGTTATACCAACAACAGTCTTGACTTTCTAGAGTCACAACCCATAAGGCAAGAAAACAGAACCACACAGAACCAGCTCCAATTGTCACTGAACCAACATGAATTGGATTTAGTTTCCACAAGACCAGACTGAACCCCACTGAACTGGCTCCAATTGTCACTAAATCAACAAGATTTGGGCTCAATTCCTGTTGAACCAGACAAGACAGGCCTGAACCAAAATTTCTAATCTAAGCATAAATACAATGGGCCACAATGACCCATGCAAGGCCATGCTATAGATCTACTTCTGTCATAACCCGACATGATAGTATAACCGACCTCATTAATTTCATTGAGTTTAAACCAGGATTCTCAATTTCGATGTGTACTGCCCGGTACCGGCGGTATGTACCGATCCGAGAGGATACCAGTACATGGACCGTCCTCTACCGGGCAGTACCAGTGTTTTGACCGGTACCAAGGCGTACCGACTGGTACCGAGACGTATTGACCGGTACCGCCCCGAGTTTCGACCGTTACCGAGGCATACCGATCGATACACCCTAGCGTGGTAGGGGAAGGTATTTTTAAGGTTTTAGGGTGTACAATCATTACGCCCTAGCATACTGACAGTATATATCGGTACGTACCGTACCGAGCAGAACTCGGTACGTCGATACGGACCGGTATTCAAAACCTTGGTTTAAACCACTAGTTCAAAATGTTTAAATCAAAGATAACAATAGTACACTCATCAAACATCTTAATCTTTGCCCACTTCTGATGCGGGACTAATCAGAATTCCTAATATTGATATATATAGCAAAATCAAGAATAATATAATGTAATAAAAAAACTACTTAAGTCCTATAAACCGATGTCACCCCCTTCTTTTCTTGCAACCCCAATCCCCTAAGCCATTGAGTCACTACTTGTGTGATGCAATGGGAGGGGTTATATATATATATATATTATTATTATTATTATTATTATTATTTTTTTTTTAAGGCGGCGTCGCATCGCCTCGGCAACGTCGCCTTTTCCCTCTCCCTTGCGGGGCGACGTCGCCTTTCCTTCTCCCACGCGGGACGACGTCGCCTCGTTTATATATATATATATATATTTATATTTATATTTATATATAAATATTCTTATATATAAGGTGACGTCGCCGACATACATACATACATAAATAT